TATATATTTATATACTTACCAGCTGGTTTAAGTAGCTTGTAAATTGACAGAGAAATCAACAAACAGAGAACAAACAATGTAAACAAATTTGATAAAAGCCCATTGAAATGCTAGCGATTTATCAGCTGCATAAATGGCCTAGTAAATAAACATTTGCACGCGTTAATGCTATGGGAGAAATGTTTTTGGCCAACGCGTCGTATGGGTAATAATCAGATAAACTATTTACGATGCGCAATCAAGTGTGGGGCCATCGAGCAAGCCACAAATTACGCACAATTTCAAAGTTAAAATCATTCAGCAATGGCTCTATCAGATATTGAGTTTATATTTCTAGTATATAGTCGTATATGCAGGTATGCATATATCGTATAATCAGTCGTTGTAATAGTCGATATAAAAATGTTCTCTTATTTTACGATGCCTGCAATTTGTTTGCCTTCTTGTTGTTGTTTAGATATGCCGAGCGATAAAGGCGATTCGTGGGACTTTATTTACGAGTCTATCTGTGAATCGTATCGATTTATGATCATGATACCATATTTGATAATCCATGTCTTTTTTTTTTTTTTTTCTAGGGTGCCTACCGTCTGGGCTGCGAGTATGTGCTGAAGGTGATGCGCAAGGAGCGCGAAACCCTGCTCACCCTGCTCGAGGCGTTCGTCTATGATCCGCTAGTCGATTGGACAATCAACGAAGATGCCTCAAATCTGCGACGCGCTATCAATGCGAAACCGCTGGCCTGTGCCGCCGTCTCCAATGAGCTGAAGTGCCTCAAGAAAGACAAGTGCAAGAACAAGCTCTCCGACTGGGACGCCAAGCGACGACACTACGTGAGCAAGCTGAAGCAGTGCCAAAAGTTTTGGTCCAAGTACAAGTGAGTTAACGAGTCGGTAGAGCGCTTTCGAAGACTTTCGACTTTGCCTTAAACAGAAATAGATATATTGGGTCGAGTCTTTTGGTAGAAAACGCATGTAAAGCCTTCTAAAGTAGACTTAAAGTTATTTTTGGGCTGCCCTATTTTGATCAGTCTTTCTAGTTTTCCTGATGGGTTGCATGTTAGAGTATTTTCTTTCTAAGGAAGAAAATCCCTTATTTTAACATATGTCTTGTATGTCTTGTTCCTTATCTTTAAACTTCCTAAACTGAAATAGAGTTAGTTTTGGTTTGTCGTCTAGTGCACATTCTTTCTAAGGAAGAATATCCTTTATCTCAATGCCTTTACAAAATGTTTCTTCAGAAGGAAAAAGTTCATTATCTTATAAATTCTTAATTATAGCAACAATGAACTAAAGTTCTTTGTGGTTTGAGCTCTATATTTATTTAATCCTTCCAAAGAAGAGCCAATGGGCTCTCCTCTAAATACATTTCCTAACTGGAAAAAAGCTTTTGTATGGTTGTTAAAGTCTTCCCCTTTCTCATCTTGGTTTCTATCCGTATCCATAATGCAGACTGGGTATATTGCCTCAGCTAACGGACATGACGCGAGAGATTGGGAAGCTGCAGCAGATACAGACGCAGCGCCTGGCCACGGAGCAGGAGCTGTTGAAACTGAACCAGCGCAGCGCCCTGATATCCGAGATCAATTCACTGGGCACGGCCATTGAGAGTCACAGCTTCAATTCGGCCTCGCCGCGCTACGCCACCAAGCTGTACCACACGGAGGCGTTGGCTCGCCAAGTCCAGTTGCGTCAGCCCGACTTTGAGGCGGTGTCGTCGCTGCTGGGGAGCTATAGGCAATGCCTGGAGCAGCAGCACCTGACCGACTTCAATATGCGGCTGATTCACTTTAAGCTGGACGGAGGCAAYTTGCACAGCGAGTACCTGGCCTTGGTGGAGCTGGTGCAGTGCCATTTGCCGCCCCAGACGCTGGAGTCGTACGAAAGCACACGCACCCAGCTGGACGAGCTGTTCGAGCGGCTGAACGATCTGGGCCTGCAGTGCGTGGAGCACATGCAGCAGTATGCGGCCATAATGGCCTACTATCCGGATCATCTGAAGAGCAACAACATCTTTGTGCGCTTCCACGAGAGCTATGCCAACTACTTGGCCAAATCCGAGAACAGCAACAGCAGAAGCCAACAGAGCGCCGCGACCCAGTTCGACACGGACAGCAAGCTGAGCACAGCCCGAACCTTGGAGGCGGTCCAGCTGAATCTCAGCTGCCAGCTGCACGACTTGACGCAGCACTTTGCCCACGAACAGGCCCTGGCCCAGTCGCAGAGCCCGTCGCACGTCCTGCTGGCGGCTATAAAGCACAGCGGCTGCAGCAAGGTGCAGCTCGATGCGGCGCTCCTGCACACCCTGGAGAAGGCCAACAGTGCGTTCGCCCACTACGAGCGATCGGCTGTGGAGGAGCGTGAAATGAAACTCTTGGAGCATCAGGTGCAGCACATTCAGCTGGTGCGTACAATGTGCCTCAGTGTTACGGAGCCCGTGGACCAGGCCAACGATCACCTCAGCCAGCTACAGGACACGCTGTCCATGCTCATCCAGCTGCAGCACAGCTTCGAGCACGGCCTCACCGCCAGCCTGTTCCGTCTATTGCTGTTGCCAGCCAAGCAGAACCATTTGGAGGCAATTCTACAGCTGGATAGCAAGACTCTGGCCGAACGTTATCATCGATCAATGCCAGTGCAGCAGCAGCAGCAGCAGCAGCAGCAGCAGGAGTTGGAGCGATCGGAAAAACAACTGGAGCCGGCGGAGGACTCGCTGCAGCAATTGGCCATTCCACGAGCGTTGGAAACTCAGTTCATGCAATGCCTGCAGCCCGGCTACGATCTCTTCCAGCAGCTTACCAAGGCCCTGGAGCGTGTCACGCGCAATATTAAATTGATCATTGGCGATGTCAACGATGCTCCGACAGAGCAGTACATGGTGAGTGATCCAAGCTAGAGGGAAGGGAATTGTATTGACTAAAGTTAGAAATATGAATGAATGCAGCCAGTTGATAGTTGAATGGAAGCTACGTAGTAAGAGTGAGATAATGGAAACAACAGCAATAGTAAGAGAGAGATAAGGATAGAAGAACGATCGAGAGATCGAGGCAGGGAGATAGGCAGATATGAAAATGACAAAGACAGAACGAAGCGTGTGTATGAAAATGACGAATGATTCAGTTTTTGTACACATATACATACATATGCATATATATAGATAAACTGTAGGACTAGAGAGTAGTAATAAAATATTTAGACATTTATCTTGAATGGCGTTAAAGATTAAGTAGCCATGCACATATATAACAATTGTGAGTGATCTTTGTATTAAAGGAGAGTTAGAGATGATGTCAGAGCAGAGCTATATAATAGAAGCTATATAATATATGAGATCATTGCCTTGGTATTATGAAAACGTAGAAAGGAAACGGAAGGAATACGGAAATTGAGGAAGAGAGATACCAGAAAAGAGCTATTTAAAAGGAGAGCTACATATGAGATAAATGTTTAGGTTTAATAGAGATCTAGGTGTAAGGTGAGCTACAAAGAAAGTATCTATTGATCAGAGGTAACAGAGGGACATTGATTTCGAAGTAGCCCAAGAGAATGATAAGATTCCTGACCTAATCAAGCGATTTCGTTTGCAGGAACTGGGCATAATTAAGAATGCTGGCAACTTGTTGTCAGAGAAATGCTTCTTCGATCTGGTGCTGCAGACGGTGGACGCCAGCAGGAGCTGGGATCAGCGACTGATGCGAGAGCCGGTGCAGAACTTTGTACAGCGCCTGGAGATGACGTGCATTGTGGGCGTGGTGCCGTTGCTCTGCCGTTCCCACTACACTAACTGTTGCACCCGCGGCCAGGAGGTGGCAGCAGCCATTGCCCTGTGCTCGCCGGATGTGCTGCAGCTGTGCGATGGCTTCTTTGCGGCGCTGCAAGCGGAGGCGACGCTGCAGCAGCGCCAGTGCGAAATTGGGCAGCTCAATCAGCTGATCGAGGCACAGACGCTCATCGCAACGGCGCACTACTGGGCATACGGCGAATCGCTGGGCAGCGAGCTGAACTGCGGCCACGTCATCAGTAGGCAGAAGCTGTCCGAGGCAATCAGCCAGAACTTGCAGACGCTGTCCGACAAGGCACTGGCTATGGAGCGACTGCAGCATCACCTGACCTCGCAGCTAGACCAGCTGCAGACCCATCGCAGCAACTGGAACCGCAATCACATCGACAGCCTGCTGCGCAACGAGCAGCAGCAGCACAAGCTGACCAGCAATCAGCTGGGCGTGATCACTGAGCTGAAGAAATGCGCCAGTGCACTGTGCAGCATCGAGCAGGCGGACGGAATTGGCGGAGAGCAGGAGAAACTGCTGCTGGACAACATGGAGCAGTGGCTGCAGGCCTACCAGCAATGGGAGGTGAGTAATGCGCGGATTAGCGCCGTGGAGCAGGCGATTGTCCAGTTGCTGGACCCCGAGGGAGCCATCGATGACTGCTGGGTAAAGAACGTGCAGGGTCTGCTTGAGGATTACACGTGCAAGGTGCAGCGGGAGCTGTCGATGCTGGAGTCGGAGCAGCAGACCAGGCGCAGACTCATCTATGAGGCGCTCAAGGAAGTGCAGGTAAAACGAGTAGAATCACCTCAATTTCAATTGAGTGTCTAACACATCGTTCCCTCAGCGCCACCAGGAGCAGATGCCGCGCATTTACTCGCGCAGCCTGTGCAGCGACTCCGAGGAGCAGGCCAAATTGACACCGCTGGATATTCAGCTGCTTTGTGGTCATGTGCGCGACGCACAGCGCACACTCATGGACTTCTTTCAGCGTGTGGTGGAGCTGCGCAAGGACATGAGCAGCGAACGGCATGCACTGCACCATGACACGCTCGCCAGATGGCAGCAGCAGCTGCAGCAAATCGAGCAAATGGCTCAGCACGGCGTGGATGACTTCTTCAGGGGCATCGAGGACTTTCTGCAGCATTCGGTGGACAGTGATTCGCTGCCATACGAAACGTTTACGCACAACAAGAGTAAGCAACATGGAATCACTTCCAATTGCCTCACAGTCAAGCAATCTTAATGCCTTCTTTCAGGTGCACCCAATCTGCACGAGCAGAAACGCAATGCGTATGGCGTGTCCGTGTGGAAGAAGATACGCATGAAATTGGAGGGACGCGATCCGGATAGCAATCAGCGTGCCAGCGTCGCTGAACAGGTCGACTACGTGTTACGCGAGGCGACCAATCCGGACAATCTGGCCGTACTATACGAGGGCTGGACGCCATGGGTCTAAGTTGACGGACGTAGCCACAAATTGCCAGCAAATGGCAAACGGGCATCAAAATCGCATAAAACGCATTATGGAACGGGGGTCGGTCACAGTGGCAGGGGGATGCTCGGAAGTGGAGTGCCTGTTGCCAAATGTATCTATATCTATATACATGCGTGTATATTTATATTTATACATGAATCTACATGTATGTGTATATATACATAATATATATGTATATATGCAGGCTGGGGTTGCGCTAACAGGCGCATCGATCACCCCGCTCCCTTCCACATCCACACGACGACCTGCCCCCATCCCGACATCACAAAGTATAGAGGATAATACGACAAATATGGAAGGAGAGAAGGATAACAAACAACAACAAATGGATAGAACATAAAGGAGAACAGGACAACATCGTTTCGGTTGCTTTCGAAGCTCAACAGCTCAACATGCCCACACTCGGCCGAGCAACCCACACAGCGGGCACCGCAGGACACAGCACCTGATGCGGCCGGCAGGAACACGYCCAAATGCAAGCAAGCAACTCAACGGGACTTGGAGCAGTTCGCGTATCCGTTGCACTTTTCAAATTTGGATTCTCATTTAATCACACTAAAAAAACACGACGCATATTATTATTTTCAGCCTACCACCCCCAATAGAACGAGAAAGAGAGAAAGAAGAATGGCAGGGAGAGAGAGAGAGAGAGGGAGGAAAAGAAAATGGCTTGTTATATATACATTTATATATATACATATATGTATTTTATTTAAATTTAAGCTCAAAAGTTGTTTTAATTTAAGTTTTTATCCTTTTTATCGAACTATCCTACAGCTTACTTGGCATATTTTCAAACCATCAACAGGCGCGGGACATGCGCTCCAATTAGATTTGTTAACTTAAAGCTCTCATTTTGTTTGCTTAATAGTTTCCTTCTTTTTGCGGTGAATCAATGCGATCTTCATTAAATATTAATACAAAATAAATCAAAATGTGTTGTTATATACTTTAACATCGAGGACATCTCCTTGGACGGCTCGGTAGGCTATCGATAGCACTATCGATACGCTCAAGCAGAGCTTAAGGCGCAGAACTCGGCTCAGCAGCAATGCCAATTGGAATTTTGCGGTGCTAATTGGAAGTGCAACGCAATTCGATTTGATGCATCACTCATGTGTGGCTACAACAACAAAGAAACGAATAAAACGCCAACAACTTGAATATATCGTTTGTATTTATATATAATCACTCATTTATTTTCTAAATTTTCCACTTTAGCTCAATTTGCTTAACTCTCTTTCTTATTCTCTTCCACGCTTCGGCTGTCATTTTACTTGGTAATCGTTCGTTTATCAATTACGTTTATATTTGTTTTCACTTGGATAGGGTGTAAAAAGTTTGAAATGTTCTTAATAGGATCAAGACATATTTATTTACCAGCTAATGCGTTACTTATTTTCTGCWTCATTTTCTCGTTTTGTTTGTTTGTCTGTTTGCATTTATGTTTTCTTTGTTTCATCTTTCTATTTATATTTTTGTTTATATTATTCTTTAATCCTTAGGTATTTGTTGCAAATTAACATTAACTTTATTGAACTTCTTGCTTACAACTATTTTTGTTGTTATCTCTTTTGTGTGTGTAGATGTGTGTTGGTGTATGTGTCTGCGTGTGTGTGTTGTGTATTTTTACAAACAGTACAATTAGAAATCAAAGTTCCAGCTATGTTTAAATATTGTTTACATCTCCAACTATTTGTTTATGTTTATTTCTGTTTTTTTTTGTTTTTTGTTTTTTTTTTTCTGTTCGGGAAACTTTTGTTGTCAGTTAATGTTAATGTTGCTTTTACGGTTACACGCTATAGTTATACAATTAAATGTTTATATATATGTACAGTACATTAATGTATACATATCTATTTATTCATATATTTAT